CTGAGTCTCAAAGTGGTTTACAATTGTTATTTTTGGGCATTTGTCTGTCACTCCTCTCAGAGATGGGATGCGGGGTCGCCGAACAGGAGGCGCATGCCAGACCTATTGGACATATTTTTAGTGGTAGGAGAAACCGGAGTACCCGGAGGAAACCTACGCAGACACGGGGAGAACATGCGAACTCCACTCAGAAAGGCCCTGGGCTGACCGGGATTTGAACCCAGGACCTTCTTGCTGAGAGGCGAGAGTGCTAACCACTCAGCCACCGTGCCGAATTGTCAATCAAGTCAATTAAGTCATAATTAATCAGCCCTATATCAAATGTTTGCAGTATCAAGATCTGGTCTGCCTCTCCCAAGATAGAAAATGTAATGCCATACTTTGGAATATCACAAGAAAAATTCAACCATTAAGATAGACCTGAGCCAAAAGCAGACCCACTAGGAATGAGGGATAATACATCTTTAACATAGACATCATTATGCCAACAGTCTTTACCACGCTTATGAATTTGAAAAACGTGCCCCGATCTGCACTGGGGGAAATGCAAGTCAAAAAGGTGGATGAAAAAAATAAAAGCTAGAAGAAGTATAGGGTTCAGCTGCGGTGGTGGTGGATTGGCCTGGAGCGGTCAGAACCACGCTTCACTGCAACGTCCCAATCGCCATCCATCCAGTCACCCTCCACCCACGGGCCACCCACGCCTCCCAGCAGCTATTTAACATGGAAATTGATTTAAAGCGAGCCGAGATATCCGCAGAGGGAGCTCGGGACAGGTGCCTCCAGTCTGCAGAGGAGACACTAATGAGAGGTGAGAGACCCGTGCAGTCTAACAAGGAAAAACACACCGCCACAATGAGCCAGTCCGAATGATCCGTTCGGCTATTTTTCCGGCTTTGACGCTGGATTGGGAAGATGAGAGATAAGTTATGTTTTTAATGATTTTTTTACTTACGGCAAGTTGTCATGATTGCAAGTGAATAGTTGTAGAAGAAGACAAAAATGGCTGGTTTGTGCGTGGGAGTTTACAGTCGGGAGGTTAGAATTATATTCGACGCTGGAGAGAACTTTTCACTTTTGTCGAGTCCAAGAGAAGCGTTGATTTGAAAATGGTGCAAAAAGTTTAGTTGGGCTGAAAATGGAAAATGTCGATTAAATAAAGTTGGGTTGTTTAAGGACAAGGCAATACTTCACTTTTGTGTGTTGTCCATGTATTTGGGTGTATGGATCTTTTTATGAGACTTTTTGTGAAATTATGTTAAAACTGAACTTGTCATTACAACAGTCTACTCAACAACCTTTCCACTTGATGTTTTGATTATCTTATCTATTGTATTTTTGCCTTGGTATAAAATCATGTGAACGCTGTAAAAACCATGGTTGTGTCATTTATGCTGAGAACCAACAATAAAATATGTCTTCTGCTGAGACGGGATCCCAGAACCTCTGCATCTTTTGTCATTTCCGTTAGGTGTACACAGTAAAGTTGGCAGCTTACAATGTGCACCAATCCCAGAGCAATCATTGCATCGGCTTTTAGTTTTGGAAGTGTAATTACTCAGTGTATATTCCAAATGTTTGGTCTTCATAACGTTTTATGTTTCTATGTGTAGTTTATTTCTACACCATTATTTTTAGGAAATTATTTTTTATTTTTGAAACGTGAGCGGTTAATTACCATAGCAAAACACTTTTTATTTGCAGCAGTTAGCATTTGTCAGCTTTTATTTACAAGTCTAAGCTCTTGATAAAAGTGAGTTATAGTAAAAATAAAAAAATAAATATCTAAATCAAAATTGGTGAGAATTACGGCTCTGGGATTTCCAGTTGTTTCATAATTCTTGGAGTCCTAGTGTTTGAAGTGACTGCTGAAGCGGATCTTGGATGCACAGGTGACACATGGGCTGTCTGTTGCACCAGCCACCATGGTGTTGATTGACCAAAAATCACAAAAGATCACTTACTGTCACTGATAACATGAAAACTGCTCCAAAAGGACAAAAAACAGGCTCCTTGTGGATTTTTTCTGCAGACCCACTGCTTTGAGTGTATGGTCCTCAGTAGACACCCAGGGTAGGGAATGGATTTAAAAACTTTTTCTTGTGCTGCATTATAGATAAATGATAATACCAAATAATATAGCATATACCACAAATACAGTATATATGCCAGAGAACCTTTTTTTTCCTACATCAAGGAACACAAAGGTTTACAAAAACAAATGCAGTGTGAATTTTTACAGACAAACGTAAAATGCGGACATAACATCATCACAAAACAGTACATTGTTTTTCACCTTGAATGTAAATGCACGGCATATGTAGAGTGGTATAGCAACTGAATAATAACTGTATGGCCTGTTTTATTCTCAGATAAATAACTTTTTTTTTGTCCAGATACAAAGCTGCCTGCACAATTCACATCACAATAGTTTGAATGGCCGGTCCAGGTTTATTCCAGCAAATTTCTACTGTGAGATTCACAAAGAGCAAATCTTTCACTTTGACCTATCCGCTGCAATCTGTTGGGTTGCAAGAAAAGGTTGGCTTATGTCAGTGTTTTGATGTTTTCTCAAAGTTGTTGGGCTCAACTCAAAGTATTTGCAGATCAATAATATAACGGTTTGCTTCATCCAACAACAACATCTTTTCATAGCATGTAAAAAGTAAAACCTCTCACCACACACACAAACACACACACACACACACACACACACATACACACAGGACTGAGGACGACAGGAAAACCACGGTAGTCCTCTGATCACTGCGGTGCACATAAGCCATAAAAGTTTTCGTCTAACTTTATTTAAAGGTAACCGTCATGTTATACTTGCAGTTATGTGATGTTGTATATGACATTGGAGTACACACAGGCTAAAAACCAGGCCCCTCCCTCTGGTGGTCGCATAGGGAAAGGGCAGGCTGATAGCATTGCTTACTTTCACTACTTGTTTTGCCATATATGTTCAACTTAATTCTACTGTTATTCCACATTCTAATACATAATAAGGCAAAGTGATTGACATTATCACGTTTAACGCCGAAAATAATGCATACTATGTGTTAGTATTAGATAGCAATATGGCCTACGTGCAGGACTGTACAAGGACTCTGATGATGACTCCATGTTTTGACTATGATGTGACTGTCTCTGTGTGACACGTATGTCTTTCGATGTGTGGCGTGACAATGACTATATAAACTGTGTACTGCCTTTATTCTGAAACCACTGGAACTTGAGAGAAACTTAAATAAACTTCCAGAGTTTGGCGCACCATGATCCGTCTCTGTCTGGTTCATTCCTGACATATGTTTTCTTTAACCGTTCTCAACTAATTCAACACTGCTCAGCTCAGTCGTTCAGTCACACAGTATTCTCCAAACGAACTTTCCCCAAAAAGGTCCAATCACCACCTATAACGCTCTGCAACCTCTCAAAATGAAAAATGAACCCCAATTATTTCTCAGGACAAGAGACCTGTATGCGGAATCCTGTAAACACCAGACAAATTGCCGTGTTTGCCTATGGAATCTCACAAGCCGTCTGTCTTTTAAGAGCAGCCTGATGCTCTCTTCCCTGATCCCTACTTACCAGGCTGATGTATGAATGCCTTGTGCGTAGCTCGCCGGCAAACTGCGGCTCCTGAATATCAATGGGATTACTAAAAGGTCTCGCTGTCAGGAGGTTTTCAGATTGTAAACTACACTAAGAGTCGGCACTGTTCCGCTTCAAGTGCGATCTTGAAATTTGATGAATGGTATTTGGGAAACACGACAGCTATGACATTTCTGGCAATATCCTCCCGCTCGCTGATGTAAAGGCACATAGTTCTGCGTATTTGGCGTGGAAACGGAGAGTTAGCTCGCTGGCTGCTCCAAATGAAACAAGGCATATTATGAAAATCGACTTAGAGCTTTTAACCCTGCTACAATGTTGTTCAATCATTACTTCATCCACGCTTGTATGAGGAAGTGGCACAAACCTGTACCTCTGCTACTTCTGTCTAGAATCTCCTGCCTCGGTCCTTTCAAAACATAAACAATTCTCAGGTGAAATGACGTTCTCTATACAATCATATGGCTGTGTTTGCAGTTAGTCATTTTTTAAATTGGAAAAAACAAAATACCCCTCTTTCTGGTGGTAGCATAGCAAATGGTCGATAGCATTATTTGTTTATAATACCTGTTTCACCATGGTCTTAAGATAAGTTAGGTTATAATTTATTGTCCTTGTAGAGAAATGTAACCTTTGCATTTGACCCATCCTTCATTGCCACTGAGTCCTCTGTCAGACGCAATAGTCACCATAGCACAGCACCCATCTCCAGATATGAATGCTCTGCTTCCTTCGTTGAGCAGTAAGGGAAACCGGAGCACCTTGAGGAAACCTTTGCAGACAGGGACAACAAACTCCACTTAGAAAGGACCTGTTCCAACCGACAGTCAATCCCAGGACGTTCCTGGGAGAAGCATGAGTGACCACCATGGCACCGTGTCAACCAGTTCCATATTCTAAAACCTGAAATGACAAAGTAAAAAGTATTTTGTGATGGCCAAAAATAATGCGGCATAGTTATTCTCCAACTTTAATAATGAAGCTGACTAGAACACATGACTTCAGCCTTATGACATGACTCAAAGACAATCAAGTGTACAGTCATTAAGTGTAAATGCTTGTGCGTAGTATATGTTGTGTCTCTTTGTGGTTAAGGGTGTTTCATTTCACATGTACTTATATTTTAAATTTTAATTAGGCCGTTATAGTAATTAATGCTGTGCACACTGTAAACCTGCTGTGACTCTGCCTCTGCCCAGGGACTACGCATTAAAATAAGATAGTAGCTATAAGTCTGGCCTGTATACAAGACATTTATTGTGTAGCGTCCACTAAATAAATAAAATAAATAATGCTGCAGGACAAAAATGTGAAAAAAAATCCTACTTTGCAACATGGAGTGAATCTTACAACCGTTTTAAACCGTAAGATTCTTCCACTTTTTATAGCTGGCCTAGTTTGTCTACGAGGCTGCCATCGGTGGTGACGGCTGGGGCTTTGTGCGCGCTCAGGGTGAGGCGGGAGGGGGTGGGGGTGGGAGCGCTGTGTGGCATTGAAGTCCTAGCATAGAACCAAATCCCTGAGCAAATACAACAGTTATGCTGGAGTTTTGTGTGGCCCAATTAATCATCTACAAAAAGAGGCTGTTTCTGTGAAATGGAACGTTGCAAGGCAAGTGGGACGAGCAAAATATGATGTTTTAAAAGCAATGGGACGAAGGGAAAAGGACAAACAAGGAATAGAATTGACGTGAACAACAGGTGGATTTATAACAGGTATTTTTTGGTAGAAATTGGTAAGAAAATGACATAGGGATGCTTCAATGATCTTGGTTCTATGGCGGGACTAAGATAAGATAAGATAAGATAAACCTTTATTAGTCTCACAGTGGAGAAATTTCCGACTAGACAGACTCAGATAGACTAAACTAAACCAGACTCCAGCAGGATGGGAAATGCCACGTTGTCTGGAGGGGTCCTTGTATTGATGGTCCCAATCTGGGAGGTAAATGGCTTTCTTTATCAGAATTCCAGTCTTTAAAACCCTCTCAGTCTGCTTAAATTTTATCTTATCAATAAAACAATAGAAGTAAGGTGCACAAGGATTACATCTATTGTAAGCATAACAAGAAAAAAGATCAAAACAAGTCAAATTTTTCTTATAAAAATCCAATGCCAAATTATTAGAATGTGGAAGTGTCAAAAAGTTTTCAAAAAGTAAACACAGGTCATTAGTAATGTCAGTAATGTTAACCATTTCCACTAGCTGAAATAAGTTGATACTATATACGGCAGATTTGATGAAAGATGGTTGAGTTGAATTTAGTGTTTCGATCAATCATTAATTAAAATTCTAAAAAATCTTACATTTACAACTACTTATTATAATATTGTTCATTTTTCAAACTCAAAAGGGAGTGGGAGGAAGACAAATCTTATAAATCTGTTCCCCTATTTTACCTGTATATGTCTGAAAGTGTATTAAGTACTTTCAGACATACAAGTTACTATAGCAGGTCTGTGAATTCAATGAAATATTGAATTGGGAAAACATTTGAATATTATATTTTTGGACATTTCTTTCACTTTCCTAAATTGGCCCTGCAACTGAAATTCTACAACGTGAAGGCAACATATTGGAAAACTCACAGTTAGATCCCAGCTCTAAATACTGCTAATACGGTTTTCTTCAAATAGTTTTAAGACTACTCTACATTGAAGTCTGGTTCTTTGTATCTTATCAAAGTTTTGTTGGAGATATGCAAAGTTCAAAACCCCATCGGAAACTGTTCTAGTTGCAGACTGTGCTATGTGGGGCTGACTATAATAAAGCACAGGGCTCAAGTTAGCGGTGATAAAAGAACGTGTCACCCTGGCTTTGATTTAGCTCGACTGAATTATTTTTATCCCCAGTGAGCGCTAAATGTATTCAGCCTTCATCATGATTAATGCTGGTTCAGGCCCCAGACCATATAGAACACCCAAAATAAAATCTATTTAGAGTTATTAATGTTAGAGGAAATTAGCTGCTGAGTTGTACAGATGACACCCGGGCGGAAAGCCGTAATAATCCTTCCACTTTTGTGTCATGGTTACGTTAAAGATCTTACGTTTTACAATGAGATTACATGTGTTTCATTTGGAGGTTTACAGAAGCAGACATAAGCAGTGTCAGTCAATGTAGGTTGTGTTTAAAGGGGTAATGGAGAAATATTTTCACAAAGCCATTTACAAAAGCTAAAATCTGTACTGATCTTCTGCACTGGAGCCGGAACATTTTGAATGAGATTTAAATAGTGAAATTGTTGTTTGCATTAGAAGATTTGGTCATTCACAGTCATTTTAATCACTGTAAAAATTTGAACCCACAGACATAATGACTAATGAACTCAATATTTTTGCTCAAGTGTTTATTATATAAATTTTTTTAATTGAGATTTTTTCCTTCAGCTTAATATTGAGATTTTATGTTATTTGTATAGACTGCGACTTGTGATGCAGCACTGGAATGTACCCACTGTGATCTCTTCATCATTTGATATCTCTTGAGGACATGCTGATGAGTTTACTTTCCGACTAATATGGTAGAGCATTGGCCATCGAGCCTGAAGGTCTAGGGTTTGAGCCCAACTTGAGACCTTCTCCACCGACTCCCACTGATGACTGCTGTTGTTGTGTTCTTTGGCAAGACACTTAACCCCTCTTTGCCTGAAGCCCCCGCTGAAAGATCAAGCCTATGCCATGGACTCACCACCTGCAGGAGGATCAGTGAGGGGCTGGTGCTATGTGTACTGGGTGGCATCTCTGGCCACTCCCCCGACCCAGAAATGGATTAAGGGGTAGAAAAAGGATGGATGGTGTTTTGCAATGTTCAGACCCCAGTATGACAGCGGCTCAGACTCCCCCACGAACCTAATTTAAGCTCAGGTGGTAATACACGGCTAAACCCTCAAGTAAAGCAACATATAAACTGCTAATATTGTCGGTGTTTTATTTTGTTCCGTAACAATAAAATCGGACGAACCAGATGCATTGCTGTAAGTGTTACATGGGCTAGTTTCCCATACTAGTCCAGGAAAAAATATAAAGTATGAGGTAATAATTGCTTGGATTGAGTGGTTTTTATCTTAATTTGAGCCCATTCTTATAGCTCCATTTGCCGATGGGACAAACTATTTAGTCTTATTTCAAAAAAATGTTTTCTTATTCCAAGGGAGACATTTCTTGTATCTTTTAAAATCAAGATAATTTTGCTGTGACTTAATGTAAACAAGAAAAGGCGGATTCATATACAATACAAAGAAAGCATATTATTTTAACTATTTTACTTAAATTGGGGAGTTTTTTTTTTTTTTACCAAGGTTTGCAGCAACAATACTTTACATCAGCTTGAACAGAACACCAACTACATGTGAAAGCCTGACCTTGTTGAAAATAAGCAGGGCAAGGCTTGGTTAGTACGGTGATGGGAGACCTCTGGGAACACCAGGAGCCACAGTGGGCGGCTGTAGCTGTAAAATGCCAAAACAATTGTTGTGTCCTTAGGCAAGACACTTCACACACTTTTCGCTTTGTTTGAGTCTGGTGTGTGCATGATCGGTTGTTGGTCTTTTGAGTATCCAGAAAAGTGCTATATAGAATGGATGCATTATACCAGTTGATGATAATTTGATAATTTCAGTCGACAATTATCTTGTTTCAGTGCTAGATCTGAGCTAGTTTAGGTATTTCATGACACTTTGAAGCAACTGTGGTTAAAGTTCTAACACATCATTCAACAATATGCACAACCCAGTACTTTTCCACAGAATGTTTTGATTCTTGAAGGCCAAGCTACTGACATCGTGGCGAAAGCTGATTGGACGGTGTTCATTCCTCCGCTGTATAATATCACTTGCATTCTGTAACGTTTGTGTTCGTGCTGTCTCTACCAACGTCAATAAAACATGTCTTCTGTCTGAATTAAAGACACGATCCCAGACTTTGTCATCTTCTTCACTAGTATTGGGTTTGCATGTTCTTCTTGTTCTTTTGAGGATTACAACTTGTATGGGAGGGGTAGTGTCTTGTGGAAAGAGTATTTTTTGGTCTAATTTGGTTGCTGATACTGCTAAACATGCTTATTATTATTGAGTGCACGTTTTAGGAAAGCTTGAGGTTTTTCCAAAGCAGCTATTTAATTAAATACAATATGGATTGGCTAATCAATGTGGGTGGTGCAACTTGTGCCAAATTTAGGTTTATTAAAAAGGCAATTTTATCATCCCTGTCAACAAAATTGTCTTCTTGTTTGTAAAGCTTTATAAATTGCGCTGGCATCAGTATGAAGAGCACAGTAATGTTCCAAAAGAGTGTTTTTACTATCCAATATTTGCGATTGGCTTCAGTCTGTATTCCAAATTAACTGCTTTGAATTCGCAAAGCTTTCCACACTTCGAGTCTGAACCTGAGTGAATACTCTGTTGTCAAAAGGCAGAACAAGGTAAGAGCTTAAACGTCTGATCAAAATCTATTCTTAGTTATCAGATGATTGAAATGTCACACAAACAGCTACATTTGATGTCAGGAATAAGATTAGGTTCATCTCACTCACATATGGCCATACCTTTATTAAAAACCATTTCAAAAAGGAAAACTAATAACGAAAAGCTAACATTCAGCACTTCAGCCACAAAGGCAATGATTCTCAATGTGTGGCTATGCATTCACTCTGCTTGATTTGATTTTGTCTTTCTTCTTCATTGGGTTGGTCTTGTTTGGAGTTTCTGTTCATCGAGTCTTAGCTGTTTGTGTTTAAACCAAAACCATGCAGTGTTTTCTATTTTAAAGTAGGCACCATTATCAGTTATTGCATTTCAAACTCCATGATGTAAAGTTTTAGGCATCAGGGTTGTACATATTTTTTTCAGAAATGTGGTGAAACAGACAAATGTTTTACAATAATAACAGACTACTGAGCAAACAACAGATACAAATACAAGACAGTTATACAGTTGAATGTTTGTGTGAAGCGCTGTGTAGAGGATGTCTTGGATTCTAAAGGTCATGTTGTTTCACGCCTAAATAGTTAATTACACTGGAAAAACATATTTTAAAAAAGCATCCTTGCTGTTGGGGGGCTTGCGTCTATACAAACTGGACTTATATTTGCATCTTCAATTGAAATACTGTTCCTGCGTGTTGCTTTAAAGCTGAAGTTTTTTGTTTCATAAATGCATTGGAATAAGCTGTGGACAAATACAACACACATACATACTAAGCTTGAAATATTGTGTGTAAAAAGAGGGAAGATACTGTATCCTTTTACTGTACATACATACTTTATTTATATCATTGAACTTTTAATGTATATGTATATAAATGAAATGTGAATAAATCTATGACTAAACAAAACACATCAGACCACAACATGCAGTCTTTAACAGAATACATTGTATATTTTGAGAGCTGAGTGAGGGTTGCTTTTCATCTTGCTGATCAGTACCAACCAGCTGATCTGGATATGACAGAGACCAACTGTTAGGATTTAGCAGACAGAGACGGATCGTGGTGTGCCAAACT